GAAGATAAAAAAGCTAAGTTAGGATGAAGGCAGAGACAGAGAGAGACTGTGAACAAGTGAGGAAGACAGAAATTAGACATGAAGCCAGATCCAGAGGAAGAGAAAACCAGAGAAATCTTACAGAAAGACAAGGAATGTCAGCTGGATGCCTGGGTCTGACGGAGGAGGGGCTGGGGGCCTGGACTCCGGGGTCTGAGGGAGGAGGGGCCGGGGGCCTGGGCCCCTGGGTCTGAGGGAGGAGGGGCCGGGGGCCTGGACCCCTGGGTCTGAGGGAGGAGGGGCCGGGGGCCTGGACCCCTGGGTCTGAGGGAGGAGGGGCCGGGGGCCTGGACCCCTGGGTCTGAGGGAGGAGGGGCCGGGGGCCTGGACCCCTGGGTCTGAGGGAGGAGGGGCCGGGGGCCTGGACCCCTGGGTCTGAGGGAGGAGGGGCCGGGGGCCTGGACCCCTGGGTCTGAGGGAGGAGGGGCCGGGGGCCTGGACCCCTGGGTCTGAGGGAGGAGGGGCCGGGGGCCTGGACCCCTGGGTCTGAGGGAGGAGGGGCCGGGGGCCTGGACCCCTGGGTCTGAGGGAGGAGGGGCCGGGGGCCTGGACCCCTGGGTCTGAGGGAGGAGGGGCCGGGGGCCTGGACCCCTGGGTCTGAGGGAGGAGGGGCCGGGGGCCTGGACCCCTGGGTCTGAGGGAGGAGGGGCTGGGGCCTGGACTCCCGGGTCCTGAGAGCCCGTACCAGCCTGTGGCTGACCTCTCTCGCTCCCCCACAGTCCCTGCCCGCATCGTGAACATCTCCTCACCTGTGACGGTGAATGAGGGGGGCAACGTGAACCTGCTTTGCCTGGCTGTGGGGCGGCCGGAGCCTACAGTCACCTGGAGGCAACTTCGAGGTGAGGACCCTTGTTCTTAGAACCCCAAGAGCTAGATCCCAGAACTCGGGACCCTCCCCCAGTGGGTCTGTATTTCCTGGATCTTTCTGAGCCCCAAGATCCTGGGATTCTCCCACCCACGGGGTCCTCTGAGCCCCATGATCTGAGTCATGTGCTCCCAGATCCCTGAATCCCCTGCACCCGCAAATTCTAGGACCCTCCCCACTGGGTTCCAGTTACTAAGCCTGGATCTCACTCCCTGCCCCACCCCTAGC